ATTCGCAACCTACACCGTCAGCCGCCAGTATAGTTGTGGTTTTGGTCCAGAGTAATAAGCACACTTACGTGCACATTGCAATGCTTTCAGTTCACTCCCATTCGTGCAAGTGGCAGCAGAATGACAGAGTGCGGCCCAAGCAACATCGAACTGTGGCAAACGGAAAGCAAGTCTTTACTGGCTTGCTTTGAGCTAACCACAAATCGTTCAACGCCAATAACTTTTAATTTCTGGTCAGGTTCTACAATACACGATTTCTTGGTGACATTTCGAGAGAATCATTCTCTTGGTGTAGAAAAGTACCCAGGCGTCATAATGCGTAACATTTCCGGACGTCGATATAACAGAGAAACCGGACAGTTAGCTGTCTCTCGAAAATCACAAAGTCGGTTTCATCTTCAGTATTAGTGTAATTCTTTTTCTGATGGATACCAATTACTCGCGTGGCTGAAATTAATGCCTCCAAATGCCTCATTGCAGTGGTAGTCCTCTGTACTCCACCAAACATGGATACTGGATGATGAAACATCACTGGTGTGATCACATGACAAATATGTGTTGTAATTCTCAAGGCTTTGTACAAAAATGTTCGCCTGATCTCGGTAGAACGTGATTGAGCGAAATTAGTAAGCGAAATGTACACTGACGAATAAGATATCCTTTTTTGAAAAAGCTCTCCTCCAGGTGACGCCATGGACGAAGTAATACTTCTGATAACAATATTTCTCCACACTGTGATTACAGCTCTCGCCCTCTGAAATATCAGAATCCTTTCAAAGGGAAGCATGTCGTACTGTGACTTTCCCGTGTAAATAGACCGCACCAAAAATCTGAAAGAACAAGGTTTGGCTACATTAAGACACTAAACCATGGGCCCAACAACCACGATAGGCTTTCAGACAGCATCTCCTTGTTTTCTTCGCTAAATAAGGCGGAGTGAGGCTGTTTGTACCCGCCCAAACCACGCCAAGTCACGATGAGTGACAATTCTTAGTGTTTCCCACGGCGATAGTATGACGGGTTTAATTAAGACTGTTTCGTGGAGCCATTTTCTCCCGTTCTTTCCCCTAGCAAAGCCCAACAGAACAGACAGAAGGGCACGACTGGACACTGGTTGTTGACCAATTGGCTGTTCGTCACTTTGCCGAGCAAACCTTTCGGCACTATATGAGGAGACATCACTATTGGGCAGTTAGGTGAGTGCGTTGTTAGCAATTGTCAAAATTTAAAAAAAACGCATGAAGAGAAGGCTTGTGCCGGGCAGTTAGGTGAGTGCGTTGTTAGCAATTGTCAAAATTTAAAAAAAAACGCATGAAGAGAAGGCCTTGTGCCGGGGATAGAATGTCTTTAGTAAGGAAATGTGTCTTGCTCAGCTCTTTTTTACTCAACACCTGGTATCTTATATCGTCGTCCACACATCGGGTTCTCTTATTGAGTTTTAGAGGAAACCCGAACCATCTGGAGAATACTGGGCCGCTGGATACAGCATCTGAATAAGCGTGCGTGGGTATTTTATATTATTTCAAATGACGTGGCACACCCTCGTATCCCACTGCCAAACAGAAACGGTTTAATTTAATAACGAATTGCCATTGCTGTTACTATTACTGGCGGCTGCTGTGGTGATTCCTTCTATATTATCCCTTTTCAAAGATGTCCTCTGAGGTTCGTGATACGGAACTTTTAGTCACGCCTAGCTTTGATGATCCCGAATATCAAAAGGAAGAAGTGGGTTTCAGTATCCTACGTTACTATTCACATGGGGGTTAGCAGTGTTATAGAACAAACGTCAGTTGTCCACGTTCGTGACGTCTGCAAGTGCGAAAGTCTATGGCTGACCGGTACAGTGCGCTCATCAAGCGAGCGGCATGTTGACTTGGTGGTGTGAGTTGTGGTCGTCGCTTTCGAGGCCAGTCTCGTGATTCCGACTGGTAGTGTGATCGCACGGAAAGCACAGCTGAGGAGGTAGGAGCAAGCTCCGTAGACGGGGCACCGACACGTATGAATAAGTAGATCAGCAGTGCACATACACACACGCATACACGCACATGTTACTAGGTCATTGTCTGACTGGACGACATTTGAAGAAGGGTAATGTCGGGTACGGATCAAAAGTACACGAGCGGAGTGAGGAAATGAAAGGGGTAAGTACTATGTTGTCAAGTTGGATTCGATAGTCGTATGGCCACTCATAAGGTTGCTGAAAACTCTCCGACGCCCCACGACCGGTTTTGCCCTAGTTGGGGCTCATCTGGTAGTCGCAGTCCCCGGATTTCCGTCAGGCGTCCGTTCCACTTGAACCCAAATTGCACGAAATTCGACTAGCACACTCATCTTCATACTAATATGGTTTCGGTATGAAAATCATTTGGAAATTAACTGAATCTCTCGTTTTTGATGTTCTTAAGATGTCGAAGAGTTTCCAGCAGTTTTATGAGTAGCGCATTACGTCTATGCAATGTGTAATGATATCTCGAATATCGTATCAACTGAAACATGAAGTGACGGGGTGCAGCGGATTCAGTTCCTTAGGAACACTATAAAAGAGGGATTCAGCAAGGCTCCAGGTGAATCTCCCAACAAAGCCATCTTGGTATGCGGATGAATGTATAAGTGACCATATTTTATTAACTGAATTGTTGTCACAATAGCAGTCGTGGAAACGTGTGGCTTTGTTTTCAAAATGAGGTATACGCCATTCCTGGGATAATCCAAACACAATACTTTGTGCCGCCGACTATGTATGAAAGGCACAAAATAAAACTAAATTCTTTTTATACCAATTAGTCTAGAAGCGCTTTATAATCGCACAGTATGCCTGTAGATGGGAAGTCCAGTCTGCGGCTGAGATTTGTTCTCGGTGAAACAAACTGAATGATGAAGTGTAACAGGTTGACCGTGGGAGCTGACTAAATTGTTCCCCAGTGACTTCATTAGAATTGCTAAGTTTCAAAGCGAGATATGGACGTACTGTCCTCGTGTTCCGTCACGTCTTAATTTTCATTACGGCAGAATTATTACTGAAATATGGTTTTCAAAAACAAAAACAAAACTAAAAAATGTTTACCCTTGGATGATTTCATTCACATCACATCGTAAACTGTATAGTAAATGGCCTGCATTTTGCGAATGGGGAACATGGTTGTTCTGTTGTAATAAAGAAAGTCGATATTCACGAGGTAATTTAGCGAATAATCCAGGGGACCCGTTGATCCCAGGTACAGCTGTTAGGTAGGTATCTAATGCGATGTACCTGCTCCAGTTTAGAACGGATTCAACAGGTGGGGATGCTTGACTGGACCGTACGGGAGGTCTCGAGTGTTTGTTTATAAAGCTCCGTCCTTTATATGTTCAACTGGAGCATTCTGTTGAGGTCATGTTCAACTAATACTGTAGATAAAAAATTAACCGAAGTGGAACTTTAAAAATCAAACCATGGCGTGATGTTATTTTTTCTGGAACTACGTGCTGCTTCATGAGGCGATGCAGGTTAGCACATTATCAGCCCGCAGACTGCTAAATTAGGAGTGCAAGAGCGAAAGCCCTATGCTTGTGTAGATAAATTGTTCGGATTATGTTTTGGAATACCACCATTTAGAGACCACTACCCAGCCAAGCTGTTGACGCTAACTGGTTCCCGCAATGAGCTACAGCTGTTCCTCGCAGTCTGGGGAAAACGATTCCCCAAGTCCCAAGTAGCTCACTCCTTCCATTAAAAAGAATTTTGGAGGGAGTGAAAGAATGTCTTTTCTGTTAAAATCATCGGATGAAGACAACCGTTTCACTCGTTGGGGCTTTTCGCTAGATTATATCAAGTTGGGGCTTTCCAGACCGCAACTGCCTAGGTGAAGAAAGGCGAACAACTTGTTCCCTGTTCAATATTAGTTAATTCAAAGAAACCGCGCTTCCGTAAAATAACCTATAGAACACATATCATCAACATTTACCTATCTATTAGCCGATATTTTCAGGCTCATTCCAAGGTTAAACTTATACCCACCTTGGGATCTACATCTACGAGTTACCCTCGGTCTGCCACCACTGTCCCATCCGGCGCACATAAGATGCTGGAAATAACATTCCGTCTAAAAAATGAGGACTCAATAGAGGTGGGGAAGCTGACGGTGAAAGAAAGAAAGGTTTTTGCTGCGGAGTCACTTATTGGAAAATGCCAACTGACCAGTTACAGACCATTGGACAGGGAAGCAAAACTCTCATTTGCATCTTATTTACAAAAACTGGACATCCATCTTCTCCTGGATATTCATTGACTCCAATCATCCATTGCTCAAAACCAAGCAAATGCTACAAAGCGACTCCACAAATTCCGCAGCAGATCTCTCTTTTCAAGAGACGCAAAGCGAATTTACAAGAACAAAACATACTACTCGCATGCCTCCCCCTCAGTATTATCGCCGGTACAGTCCTAAACATCCGATCCAACAGTTCACTGACGTATGCACATCGAAATGCATCCGAATTCCATGGTCGAAGTACACAACAATGCCAGTATTCAAAGAAGACCTGGGAATATAATTCTAAAACAAACCGAGAAATATTCCTTTTCAGCAACGTACATTATTTTTCACTGTTGCCACTCGCCGTCTGAAAACAATACATGAATCCCGAAGCCAGTGGACGCCATTCAGTTTATGCCAACGCAGAACCTATTGTTTCAAAATTTCTACACCGCCTCAACTACGGGAACATCATCATACTTACAAAACCCCTCCATTGTTGCCCCTCAGGACATCTGACTCTTCCGAAGGTTGGACACTATTGTGGTTTGTAGTGGTGCCCAGAGAAATTCGCCTCGATAGACGGCTAAGAAAGCTGAAAACTACAGCTAACCATCTTGCCTGCTGTCAACCGTCATCAAATATCGCTCGATATGTTCATGCTCCTCTTTAGTTATCTCCAGTAACCAAAGCACTGGCACAGTGTCGGATTTCCTCCTAAGGGTAGAGATGACAAAGTGTCGGTGTTTTGAGCATGACCACATGTGCCAATTTTGTCCGCTGCAAACGTATGACACCAGACGACTCATCGAGTTTGGCAGCCATTTTGAGAGCCTAGCGCAGGCAGGAGTAGTTGAAGTTGAAACAGAAGGATTCATCTTCCGGAAACATGATACCCGCAAACTAAGGGATCATCAGCTCCGCTGTTTTCTGTACATACAGATAATGGCAACGCCAGTGCCTCCACGGCACACTATCGTCGAAGTTTGCGTCAGTGTTGCAGAACACATGGAGGTGGCTAAAGAACAATCTACAGAGACGCAACACGACCCACAGTGCAACAATCTTCCAGCAGATCTTGTCGGCCGGTTGGGTAGTGCCTCCAAACACAATGGGACTGCATTTAGCTATAATCTGCGGAAGAAATAACTTATATGTACAGTAATAAGTCAATAAATGCTTCTTCCAGATTCAGCTGTTTCATTCCAGATGTTTTCCATGTGTTATGTACATTTTTGCCCCATAGCTCTCCGCAGCTTCATGCATATATATATATATATATATATATATATATA